TCTGAATTACTCTACAGTTCAAGGTCCCTTCATCTTCCCAGTTGCCCAAGGACCAGTGTAGGACTGCCTTTGTTTCTATTTACTATCTTGAGAACTGACTGTTCTAATGCTCCTACCACTGCTTTGGCTTAATTACAGCTCAGAAGCTTTCGTCTGTGTCAAAAGGCCAGTTGCACTTCTCTGCATCCTCCATCACAGACATCACTAACTCCCAAACAAGCAAAATTGACAAAATGACTTTCCTTTCTTAAAAATGGCTTTTTATTTATGATTTTGAAAGGTGAAAAATTGGAGAACATAGCAGATAGAAGGGGGCAAGGAAGTCAGGTATGGTGGCTCATGCCTTCCCAGCACTTGGGAGACAGAGGCAGGTGGATCTCTGTGAGTTTAAGGCCAGCCTGGTCTACATAGCGAGTTCCAGGCCAGCTGGGGCTACAGGGAGACCCTGTCTCAAAAAGACAAAAAAGAGGAAAAAAAAAATCATCTCATCCAAAGATAACTAAGGTTTTATATTCTAGACCATTTCCTCTTAAATCTTTATCTCCCTCTAGTCTAGCATTTAACTGTAAGCTTTCAGACTTTGCTCTTTCAAAATAACCATTAAATTACCTGGGTGTGGCAGCTCACACCTGTAACCCAGCACTGGGAGGCTGAGGTAAGTGTGGCACCATGGGTTCTAGGCCAGCCTGGGCTATACAGTGAGTTCCAGGACAACCTGGGCAGCAGAGTACCTTGTTCCCCCAAACAAAAACCAAAAAATAATCAGAATACCCAATAGGGTAAAGCCTTCTAAAAATTCCCAGGATTCTCCTGTTCTTGCTCCTTGCCCTGTATTGAATAGGAAAATGATTAGGACTGTCCCATACAAGTAAAAGATTCTATTTTCAGGCCAGGAATGGTGGCGCACACCTTTAATCCCAGCACTCGGGAGGCAGAGGCAGGCAGATCTCTGTGAGTTCAAGGCCAGCCTGGTCTACATAGTGAGTTCCAGGATAGCTGGGGCTACAGGGAGACCCTATCTCAAAAAGACCAAAAAATAAAATAAAATAAAAAAAGATTCTATTTTCAAGGTTGGGACATCTGCCTCAGCCTTCCTTCTAATCATATTCCTTACAAATTCTCATTCAGGATGGGTCACTAAGTAAGCCTTGCCCTACCAGACTCTTTCCCACTTTCAGTCTCCTCCTTAATTAATCATTTGATGCTCAATGTTCAGTCACATCACTTCTAAATGAATAATTTAGGTATACAAGCCCTCAAGCTTCTATTTCCTCATCTCCAGAATGGGAATAACCTCTGCGGTACCTACCACATTACAATCACTGAAAATTCAGATAACAGATAAGAAAGCTGTAAAGTGGAGTGGCCGTGACAGGTATGATCACTATGTCATACACTATGTCAGTTCTAATCAGACACCACCTTGTTATTTCAGTGTGTTCCTCATGTGAGCCTGACAAAATTTTAAGTCCCTTGGGTGAGGGGACAGTGACTAATTGAATATTATCTTCAGCTCTAAGCACAGGGCAGGGCACATGGTCTACAATTCATAAATATTTTCTGGATTTATAAATGAATAGATGTACAAACTGCAGGACATAAAAAGCAATGGCACATGCCTTTAATCCCAGTATGTGGGAGGCAGAGGCAGGTGGAACTCTGTGAGTTCAAGGCCAGCCTGGTCTACATAGTGAGTTCCAGGTCAGCTGGGGCTACAGGGAGACCCTGTCTCACAAAAAAGATAAATAAATAAAAAAGCAATGGAAGGCAAACTAGAACAGGGGGTAAGAAAAGTGGTAAAAGAACCAGGGCAATTCATTCTGGGGGCAAAGAAAAAGGCACAGACGACAAAGGATGAGGTAGTGGCAAGGCAGAAGGTCCCTTGGGCCAATTTAGAGGAAACTGAACAGCACCAAGAAGCCAGAAAGGATTGGTGGAGGTGAAGAAGGTGCAGCTGGGCCTATGGCACCAAGGAGAAGTTCCCCAAGATATGAAGATAGGCTGACAAAGGACTATCTGGCAGTAAACATTTATTGAGTGAACTGACTCTAGCTAAAGGGAGAGCAATCAAAATTGAACCTCCCCAAACTGAAGCTCCAAGAACTCTATCTTTCAGGAGCAGATCCAGATCAGAGTGCCCCTGAGTTCAGCTCCCTCTCAGGGATTCTCTTCCCTCCTTCAGCAGTTGGTCATTCCTGACCTACTTGGCCTTCTCTATAATATGAACCCTATCTCAAAAGTTATCATTCTGAGCCTGGTCTACATAGTGAGTTCCAGGACAGCTTGGGTCTACAGACCCTGTCTCAAAAAGACCAAAAAAAAAAAAAAAAAAAAAGTTATCATTCTGAATTCTTGCATTCTCTTCAATGCAGGACCTCATCTCATTCCAAAAGCTCCATGTCAAAGATACCTACTCCATGATAGTATGGAAGCCAAGGCCCAGGGGTTGAGCCAAGAGCTTAAGGCCTCTGACTCAGCTCATATTTAGTGGCTTAAGCTAGGATGGATGTACACCTGTTCTTGACCTTATCTCCACCACATGCAATCCACTTCGCTGCTCTCGGTACCCCAGATCTCGCTTTGACCCAAAAGTCTTGGGGGTCAGAATTGAGCTGCATCAGTATAAAGGTTAATACTGTCAACTTGACTGGATCTAGAATCACCTAGAAGACAAGCCTCTGAGGGATTATCTGCATTACAGTTTGGTGGGAAGATCCTTAGCTGTGGGTGGCACCATTTCATGGGCTGGGGTCCTGGACTGAATAAAAAGAAGAGAATTGAACACTAACATTCATTGCTCCCTGTTCCCTGGCTGTGGACACAGTGTGACCAGCCGTCTCAGGCTCCTGCTGCCATGATTTCCCTGCCATGATAGACTGTACCCTCAACCTGCGATCCAAAGTAAACCTTTCCTTCCTTAAGGTCTTTTGAAAGGTATTTGATTACAGCAACAAGAAAAGTAACTAATATAGACAGTTTCACAAATAGCCTAGAGGAATGATTCTCTGAGACAGGCCACCCACAGGCATTAGCAAAGGAACCAGATGTCCAGGCAGCACCAGACCTTTCTCCCAGCCCAGGCCTTGCCACCACAGTCTCACAGCACTGACTAGGGCAGTTATTGGTTCCCTATTTTAGAAGCTGTTGGGGCTGAGTTTCCCAACTTTTATGCCTCTCTCCCTAGCACTGTTTATATGTAGGGTGACTCAAGATGACCTCAACATGATGCTTTCTGTCCTTATATCCACCTGTTCCTGTTAATAGGTATGGCTCTTCATCACCAGTCTTTGAACCCAGTGGAGATCCAGAGGGGTTCTATAGTACCTGCTCTGGAGAGCAGGCTCTGGAAGACTAAGAGCTCTGGGGGTGTCTATGGCAGTGCATCCCTGGCTAGAACTGATAGTTAGGGGTCTGGGGATGTAGTTCAGTGATAGAATGCATGTACTCTATCACTGGGCTATATTTCCAGCCCTCTCCCATTTGCTTTCTTGGGATGGTTTCACTGTGATGCTCAGATTTGCTCTGAACTCTTAGGCTCAAATGATCCTCCCACATCAGCCTCCCAAGTAGGTGGGACTACAGATCGGCACCACTTTGCCCAGCTCCATCTTTGCTTTTTCTATCAAAAGCCCGCTGGCGTCAAAAAGAGTGAACTCCTCACCCTCTCCTTAGGGTTGATGGCAGCCAAACTCACCTACTCCGTGTGGAGTTAAGAACTCCAGGAAAGAAACAGGTAAGTGCTGGCACTGAACCAAACACCACAGTGCTTAAATAAGAGAATCTAGGGTGGAAACCGCCTTGCTACAAAGTAGAGCTAATCTGAAATTATCCTACTTTGCTACAAAGTATAGCTATTCTCAAAGGGAAGTCTGGGAAAGAGGAAGTGCATGGATGGGAGCCTGGATGGCCAAGGCTGAACACAGAACTACACGCTCCTACTCTCCTGCTGAAAGGACGAGATGCTGGGAGATGTGCCTTAGTCTCATCCTCTACCACCTCAGGGCCAATAACGACGATGGGACACACTTGACTGGAACCAAGAGTCCACCTGCTTGCTCACCCTTTCCCACTTCCGCAGGAAGTCTTGAATGGGAACAAAGATCAAGGCATTCTAAGCAATGGGATCTACTCACCTCAAGCCCAAACCAAAATGCTTCACCAGGTTGCTTAGAGAGACGTTGTTAGCATGAAAGGGCTTCCTCTTCTCTGCAAACTCGTGAGCCAGACAGATGCGCCAGCCAAAAGGAGGCACCCGGTAGCCCCTAGCTTTACCCTCGTAGGAGGCCATCAGCTGCCCAGAGTCCTCTGAATTACAGTCGTCTGGTTTTTTCTGAGGTCCACTGTCCTCTGGGCTTCCGCAGTCTGTCACCAGCACATCCTCAGTGTCTCCAGTATCTTCAGGACAATGAACTTGTGGATCTCCTTTGGCACAGCTGATCTGCTCTGAGGCTGGTACGCAGGTTCCCATGTTCACTGGATCCAGGGTCCTCACAACTGGGATGGGCTCGGGTCCCTAGCTCTGTGACACGCTTCTCGCCAGCCAGTCCAAACGCGGGCGCCAGTTGCAGTTCGGTGCGGTCGGGGAGGGCCCGGCGCTGGGGAGAGCCGTGGGGCGCTGCTGTCCAGGCAGAGACAGGAGCTCCTGCAGCGGCGGCGGCGGCGACTGCACTGAGGTCGCCTCAGGCTGTCCCGGGATCGCGTCTCTGGATCCTGGGCGGGAAGGGTCGGGCCTTGTTGTCATTGGGCCGCGGAGATAAGCTCGCCCGGCCGAAGGCCGCCGGGCTCGGAGGACAGGGGCGGAGCCGCGGTACCTGCCTGCAGAGCTCCGCCCCCGCCTCCCGCGAGGACCCGCCCCTGGGACCCGCCCCGGAGCGCGCGCTCCCTAGGCCCCGCCCCCTGCGTCCCCAGGGCTGGGCTCCAGGGCCCTCGGCCCGGGTCGGGGCAGCGCCCGCGCCCAGGTGCCACCGTGGAAGGGTGACCCGCAGCCCCGGGACCACCCGCGCCCCGTCCGACCGGAAGCAGCCAGCCGGACCGGAAGGGGCTCCTCGGCGCTGCGGGGGTGACGAAGGAAGTCCCGCCTCTGCCGCGCCACGGACGCCGTGGACCGGACGCTGTACCCGGAGGGGCGGGCAGGTGAGGGCCTCGGTGTGGGACCCCGCATTCGGGGAGAGACTGGCCGTGCGGCGATGGTCCTGGCCTGGGACCTGAAGCCAAGCGGGAAGTGGGGACCGAGGCAGGCCGGGGATTCCGCGGGGGCGCGGCGTGGGGCAGTGGGGGTCTGGGACCGGAGCGACCCCCCCCCAGGCGGTACTGAGCCCGCACCCCAGCCCAGCCCATCCACCTGCCCCCTCCCGAAATCCCGGCGCTTCCTACCCGCACCGAGACTTGGAAAGTCCACTTCTTGGCCCCTTTGACCCAGGTCTAGACCCTAGGTCTCGGCTCTGATACCCCTTCCTCCATGCCTTGCCAATGACCTCCGACCCCCGGTGTTTCCTTCTAGATTCGATTCTGGAGCTGCCATGATTGAAGTGGTAGCTGAGCTGAGCCGGGGTCCTGTATTTCTGGCGGGGGAGGCGCTGGAATGTGTGGTGACTGTCACCAATCCCCTGCCCCCCACAGCCACTTCTGCATCTAGGTGGGGACGCTGGTGCTGAAGATCTGGCCCTTCTGGGAGGAAGTCTGGTATCACTCTTGCTAAGCCAGAGCTCCCATTGTCCTGTAACTACACAACCACCACCTCCTCCTCCTCCTCCTCCTTGTTCTTTATGCTCTCATTGTCGGAAAGGGCTGTTTAACAGAAGATGCACATGATATAGCCGTTTCTCCTTTCCTCCACTTCTCCCTCCACCTCGTTCCCTTGTGAACACGATACACTTCTCATTGCTTATTGGTTTCACTTTGGGGGTTCTGAATGTCCTGATCACTAAGACAGTCACCTAACCTTGGTGGTCTTCTCAGACAATGTGGTAAGGAGACTGAGAAAGCATTTGTGAAGTCAGGAACTAGCCTCTCATGCTCCTCTTCCTTTTCTTCTTCCACAGTGAGGCTCTGGCTTGGGCCAGTGCCCAGATCCACTGCCAGTTCCATGCCAGTGAGAGTCGTGTAGCACTGCCACCTCCTGACTCTAGTCAGCCAGATGTCCAGCCTGATAGCCAGACTGTCTTTCTGCCACACCGAGGTTAGAGATGGGGTACTGGCCTTGGGGGAGAGAGGGAGTCATTGTCACTGAAGGGTGAAGTTAAGTTCTTGTATGTTGTAGTCTCTGTTGCATCAGGTTTGTAGGGGAGGTAAGGTAACTATTTCTTTGGGGCTGTAGGACTGTCCCCATATCACAACAGAAAAGAGTTGCCAATTTTTCACAGCCTGCACTTCCTGTGTGAGCTTAATCAGTCCTGGACATTGGAATCATTTCACTGTGGTCTTTCTTACCTTTCATAGGTGAGAGGGGTCAGTGTATCCTTTCTACTCCACCAAAAATTCTGTTTTGTGACCTGAGGCTAGACCCTGGAGAGTCCAAATCATGTGAGTGACTGTCCCCATCCCTGCATTGCCTCTTAAGTCTTGTGGAGGGAGGATTCCTCTGGCTACCTCTAGCTGCCCTGACTACTGCTTCCCAACCAGACTCCTACAGTGAAGTACTACCCATAGAGGGACCACCCTCCTTTCGGGGTCAGTCAGTCAAGTACGTCTACAAGCTGACCATTGGCTGCCAGCGAGTCAACTCACCCATCACTTTACTCAGAGTCCCTTTAAGGGTTCTTGTGCTGACTGGTAAGTCAGGTTCCTGGAGGGAAGGGCTGCAGTAGAGGCTTGCCAAATAGGAAATAAGCTAAGAGGACCTGCAGGGAAGGGGGTGGGGATGGGGATGGAGAGTAAGTTGGGATGTAAGCCCTCAGGTATGGCTCCCCTTATCGTCATCCTTTTCAGGTTGGAGTCTAAACCCTATTGTCTGTTTACATCTCTGATCCTCCCAGTATTATCTCTCTACTCACTCTCTCTAGGCCTTCAAGATGTCCAGTTTCCTCAGGATGAGGCTGTGGCTCCATCCAGCCCATTCTTAGAGGAGGATGAGAGTGGGAAGAAGGATTCATGGCTAGCCGAGCTGGCTGGGGAACGCCTCATGGCTGCCACATCCTGCCGCAGCCTCCGTGAGAATCCTTTTAGAATTGCCCTGCTCCATCATCCCTCCCCTCAGTATATTCCTGTCTCAGAAACAAGTCTTCTTTCCACCTTCACTTTCATAGATCCATTAATATCTTGCTCTGGTTATAAAGGAAAGCCCTACCTTTTGACCTCTGAGACCCAATCCTAGATTATTCCTCAGTATAAACTTGAGGATCATCATTTCCCATTCTCCCCAGATCTATACAACATCAGTGATGGCCGAGGGAAAGTTGGGACATTTGGCATCTTCAAATCTGTATACAGACTCGGCGAGGACGTGGTGGGAACCTTAAACTTAGGGGAAGGAACTGTGGCTTGTTTGCAGGTGAGAAAGGAACAGAGCTTCTGTTGTGCTAGGCCTGAAGGGCCAGGGTGGAAGAAGGGCTTGTATAAAGAAGGGTGATTTGTAGAAGTGGATAATGGGGTCACTCAGCACTACCCTCTCACCTACAGTCCACACTTCCTGCTAGCATGCATCTCTCTTCTTACTCCCAGTTTTCAGTAAGCTTGCAGACCGAAGAGCGTGTACAGCCTGAATACCAGCGGCGCCGAGGGACAGGAGTTGCCCCCTCAGTGTCCCATGTGACTCATGCTCGGCACCAGGAGTCTTGCCTACATACAACTAGAACCAGCTTCTCTCTCCCCATCCCCCTCAGCTCTACCCCAGACTTCTGCACTGTCATTGGTGAGAACCTGTCCATTACTGGAGAAGGGAGTCAGGGACATGAGTGCTGGCCTTAGGCTGAGTGTCATGGGCTCTGATTCCTAAAACGTTCCCTGCCATACCCACATCTAGCTCCTGGCCCTTGAACTTTCTTAGACCTTCAGTCTTTACCCCAGTTTCTTAGATGCACTGACCTACAAACTCTTAACAGCTTTATTACTGTCCTTACTGCCAGGATGATCTCTGGTTCCTCAGCAGTTACTTCAAGCTACCTAGTCTTGACTGTTTCACTCTTGAGTTACTAGGTAATGGTAGTGCTATCCTTAACTCATATCTGTGGTTAACATGTTAACATACCAGATCTCTTCAAAACAAAGTATTTGATGATCGTAGCTCTCTGTCCTGTACTTTCTCCTCTTCATGAATATAGTTTGGTTTTTTGTTTTTGTTCTTTTTTTTAAAATTTAGCCAGGCATGGTAGCACATTGATCCTAGCACTTGGGAGGCAGAAGTGGGTGAATCTCTGTGAGATCGAAGCCAGCCCATTCTACCTAATGAGTTCCAGGTTAGCTGGGGCTACAGGGAGACCCTATCTCAAAATAAATAGATAAATAAATAAATAAACAAACAAACATATTTATTTTGCCTGTAAAGGGGTGCATAAAATCCACAGCATGTGCATAGAGGTCAATTTATGGGAGTCATTTCTCTCATTCCACCATGTCAGGCCTGGGGATCAAACTCAGATCATCAGGCTTGGTGACAAGCACCCCTTATCTGCTGGACCAGTCCTCTGGTCCTGGATTTTTGTTTTAATTTACTAAGCATATCCCATCATTGGCTTTTATTACTGCTTGCTTGCTTTTTGTTTGTTTACTTGAGATTGAGGTCTCATGTAGGCCAGGCTGGCCTCAAATTTGATATGTAGCCAAGGATGTCCTTGCATTTTTGGATCCTCCTTGGAGCCTTCACCTCCCAAGTACTGGTATTGTAGGCATGTACCATACCTGGCCTCCTACTAGCTTTTAAAGCTTTTACTTTACTTTTTTCTTCCACAGTGTCCCTGAAGTGGCGATTACATTTTGAATTTGTAACATCCCGAGAACCAGGATTGGTACTCCTGCCCCCATTGGAACATCCTGAGCCTGCCACCTGGACAGGTCCTGAGCAGGTGCCGGTAGACACCTTCAGCTGGGACCTCCCCATCAAAGTGCTGCCTACAAGCCCCACTCTGGTCTCATATGCTGCCCCAGGCCCCAGCACCAGTACCATAACCATCTGAAACTGGCCCACCTGCCCACTGTGGTACTAGTTTCTTCAAGAGACGGAGAACTCAGGACCTGAATGTTAGTGGAGCCCTCTTTTTTCCAACTGGGACCCAGCGGCTCCAACAATAAGAAACAGGCTTTCAACTGTAGCATTAATTTATTTATTCAGAATAAATTGGCAGCTGCTAGTGGTTTCCCTGGAAGTGGAAGCAGCAGTCAGCAGATGTGTGATCAGTTAGCTGGTGGGAGCAGGAGCCCCATGAACAGGGGTGCTAGCTGAGCCCCATTCTAGGTCGGGTCCTCCCCCTTTGCAGGGCAGCCGAGGGTCAGATTTTTGCACCAGGGAAAACTGACAGGTTCCTGCCTCCTGGCGGACTTCACACTCAGCAGGGAAGTCAATGGGGTGCTGAGACCTAGGGACCCAAAAATGAGAGCACAGTAAAGAGCCACTGCTGTGACCTCCCATACCCTCTGGTAGCGCCCCCTGGTCTCACTACGGCCTCTACTACCAGGAGGGACTTTTCATTTCAGAGCAAGAGGATTCCCTCTGGATCCACCTCAACTCCCTCTTGTTGGTACCTTCAGGTCTTTTGTTTATTCTTACAGCCCTAGCCATTCCTCAGTCACATGAGAGGCTAGTCCTCTAGCCATTCTTGGTCACTCACGTGTCACAGCAGCCCACACCAACAGGATGCAGACAGGTACAATGAAAACAGTCCTTGCGGAGCCAAGATTCACCAAGGGTGAAGTATTTCCCCTCATAGTGACAGGGAGCTAGGGAAGAAGGAACATCATTAATGGTAAGAGCTGAGTGAGCTGGTAGTGGTAGCAGCAGACTCTTCTGTCTGGGGTGGGAAAGAATCCGTGCTCACTACCCCAGTATATAATCTTTACTATTTCACAGGTTGAAGGACTGGATATCCTGACGGGGTCATCTCTAAGCCCCCCCCCCCCCATCTTCTAATCCTCACCCCACATTACCTTGAGCTTGGAAGTAACACTTGCTGTGAACTCCTGGGTGCTGCAGGAGCAGAGACACCACCAAGCAGATGATCCTCCAGCCTGGCAGGATCCCCTTGGCTTGTTGAGCCCGAGCCCAGAGCATCCTTAGAGCCATTCCTGCCTGCTGCTCAGCCCCTTCTTAGCTCTTTCTTCAGCCTCCTCTGGTCTTACCCCCTTGCTTTTCTTTGCCTTGTTCCTTTACCCTTTAGTCTCTCTCTTTCTCCTTGGGCTCCTGTCTCACACCATCTCAGTGCCCTCACTCTCACAGGCGAGGATGTTTTTAAAGTGAGGACCCTGACCCCCTGCTGAGTAGAACTGGAAGTGCTATAACTCTGTTTCCTGAGGTGAGGGCATGAAAACAAGAGGTCCAGCTTTTAACAAGCTGTGAGAGCTGATTCATGCCCCCACACAGCTAGAGGGAGGGAGGTGGCCATGGAAGGGGCCGCTGGACTGGGCACTTCCCAGCAAGGAGGTGGGAGGGGTGAAGGCCCCAGGTGGTCCCCACATCTCCTTGACCTGCCTAGGGGAAGCATTCCATCAGCCCTCCCTCCACCACCACCAGGGGTGTGTGTGCTGGGATCCCTGCCTGAACCGGAGGGAGGCATTTCCTGGGGATGGCTAATCCTGTGCCCCAGCCAAACCAAGGAGTTGCAGCAGGGTGCAACAGCCAGAGGCTCCAGGAGAGCAAGTGGGCATCTGGAGTGGAGTGTTTTCCTTCAGATCTGAGCCTAGGTTTCCCTGATACATCTGAGAAATGGCTACCCTGAAGGATGTAGGGGCAGAGGTTCTTCCACAAGTATCTAAAGATTATCTAGTATTTATCACCCTCAAACAAAACAGATGCAAGATTGTCCCATCTCTGGCAATGCTTCTGGCCCAAGAGAAGCATCTCCATGTGTCCTAACAGGAGTCACCCCACTTTCACAGTGATGTCTCTCCTGATGGAATGTGGGTTCATGAATGTTAGTCTTCAGCATCTTTTTGAGAGGTTCTGTAGGACTAGAGACAGAGTGCTGGATTCAGATCACTTACTAGTTATGTGACCTTGTACAAAGCATGTCACCTCTCATCCTACTTCCTCATCTATAAATTGAGGGTAGAAATGCCAACTCATAGACTTGTCATGAGATAGCACATGGGCTGGTCTTAGCACCATCTTTGGCATGCGTGCGATCCTCAGAAGATGCCACCCACTGAGATTAAGGCTAAAGCTCAAAGACAAAAAAATGTTTGTTCTTTGCATGGCGTTGAGCAGCTCCACACTGCTGAGGGCTTCTGTTGTGGGTTACACTCTCCTGTCCAACTTCTGACCTTTCCACGTACATGTTCCAAGTCATCTCTACCACCCTGTTCAAAAACTAGATGGCCCTGGGAGCATTTTGGCTTCAGTCCTTGATTTCTTGAATTCCTTATATCTGGTCTGAAAGGTGGTATTGCTGATAAAACTTTGTTTCCCACTTCGTGCCTTTGTCTCTGCCTTAGGGAGAGGGACCATGTTCTAGTGCCCTCTTCACTATAGGATGCTGCATTTTCTCAGGGTTCTCACCCATGTCTTGTGGACTCTCAAGTCTCCTTTTTTGAACACTCTGATGCTAGTTATACCTGGTACTAAAAGGCCTAGGCAAGCTGGATTTCTTTTACTTTCCCACATTTCAAAGCCTTAACTACTGTTGCAACCATTCCCTCCTGCCCACAAGACATTTGTTCTAGTTTTCATCCAAGTCTAGAGTCCCATTCACGGAAAATCTCACGCTTCATCCCCAGTATAGGAGATAGAGCTACTTCTAGCAGACTTCAAAGGCTCTCTGCCTGTCAACTCTTCAGAAACCACTGTCAGTAGTGCACCTCTACCTCCCTAGCTGTCTTCCCAAAGTACCTTTTCCCTTGGCTGGGGATGAAGCTCAGTGCTTGCCCATCTTGTACAATGCCCTAGATTCCAGCCCAAGTACTCCCAAGGGGGTTGAGGGGATAAAACAGGATTCCCTTTTAGAAGTGTCACGATAAAAAACAAAGGAAATCAATGTAGAAGGGTGTGCCTACCAGGTAGGCTGCTATGTGGAGGCATGGCCTTGATTGCTTGCTTGGCTTGGAGGGGCGTTGGTTGGGGGAGGGGGTAGTTAATTAGAGGGTCTGTCTAGCACTAAGCTTGTAAGTCTGGTCACTCACTAGTCAATAACTCTACTGCCTTAGGGGGATCCTACCTGACACTCTGAAGGCTGGGCACAGACTATCTTCTGGAGTAACTAGGAACTAGATGCTGGTGGGAAGCTAGAGAGAGTGGGGAGTTGGTGGCTGTTGGAAGAGGATCCAGTGGGCATTTGTGTGTGAGGGTTGTAACTGCAGAAGCAAGGCTTAGCCTCCGGGAATGCAGATGAAGCAGACTTGTAGAGTAGGAGTGGCAAGAGGCACGTTGGAGCAGGATTTCTCTCCTGGAGGTTGGGGGGCAGTGTGGAGTTGGTTGACGGTTTGTGCTTTGCTATCTTTGTGTAGGGGTGGCGGTGGTTAGAGCCCAGCCTTCAGAGTCCCAGAAGAGAGGCCTTTGGGGCAGGGGGCAGGACGGGGCTGAAAGTGGGTGGGTGGGGGACTGTTGGCATGCGCTGCCAGCGCAGGGACAGGAAAACATCCGCCGGAGGCCAGTCCAGGCAGTGCTCCAGCGAAACAGGCAGGTGCTTGGGGTGAGGAAGTGAGCGCATTCCGGCCCCTGGCCGGCGCCCGCCCTCCCTCGATTGAGTCACCCCCGACCCCTGCCCGCCTGGGCCTGGAGGGACAGAGGATGGCCTTTGGGGTTCCATGTCTCTGGGAAATTTGGAGACTGCTGCCCCTGGAGGGGAGGGTCAAGGAAGAGCCCAGAAGAGTCAGAGAAGGGGTTTCCGAGGGCCTTTCTGCCCAGGTGGCACCGCAGCGCAAAATGCAAAGCACCTGAATACCTACCTACCTGGGGTTGAATGGAGACAGTGGGAGAACCCCTGAGAAACTTGAGGGTGAGGGCAAGGGACAGACCCTACAAAGCTTGCACTGAAAGGAGGGGCCAGGAACCCGGAAGGCAGATGGTGAGGCGTCTGAGGGCTCTGGCTGAGCCTCAGAGAGCTAAGGATCCCGCAAGCAGCTCAGCAGATGGAAGGGTAGGACTGGCCAACTCCGGAGGCCTGAGTGAGCAAAGGTAGTGGATGGGGTAAAAGCGAAGTGGTCTGTGGCTGCCATAGTAGCCAGCTGCATTCAGTTCCCCACACACACCTCGTCCTCAAAGTTAGCAGTGGTAAGCTTGTTTCCAGATGACTGGTCCAGCAGGTAGCCTGCCACTAGGATGAGCCAACCTGGGCTACAAAGTGAGACAAAAAAATTTAGTCATATTGAGTTCTTAAACAAAATAAAAACTGAAAAGTTGAATATCAGTATTTGATGTTAGATTTGAAAATCTAAATTTAGGTTATTAAGATTAGTTATCTTTCCGGGCCAGGTCACTCAATGCCTTTAATCCCAGCAGTGGAGAGCCAGAGGCAGGTACATTTCTATGAGTTTGAGTCTGGCCTGGCCTGAGTTCTGGGCCAGCCAGGACTACTTAGTGAGACCTTGTCTCAAAAACAACCCCTTCCCCCACAAAAAAGTGTAGTTATATGGCCAGCTGTACTGAGTGGCTCATGCCTGTAATCCCAACACTTTGGGGGGGACCTGCTGAAGTGGGGAGACTATCTTGAGCTGGTGAGTTCCAGACCAGTCTAGCTTAAAAACAACAAAAGAAAATGGGTTATATGGTGTGGAGCCCTTTCCTTTGCTAATTTGGGCCTCTTTGGATGGTGCTGGGTTCTGTGGTTTCAGTGCAGTGGTTCTTATCTGCAGAGCTCTTCTGCTCTCCCTTTCCTTCATCTTACTGTCTTTGTTTTTAACCTTAACTTTACCCCATAGCCCTTTAACTTGCCCTCTGTATCCCCACAGACCCAAGTAAAACATTTCTCAGGATGGGGCATTGGATTCCAGTATACAAAGAAAAGCAGGTCATAATGCTAGCTGTTAGGTTACTTACTATCTTTTGTGGACTGATATGTTACTATAAAGTTTCTGTATTTGCCCTGTAGTTGATAAAAAAGGTGAACTGTGTGGTGGCACAAGCCTTTAGTCCTAGCACTCTAGAGGCAGAGGCAGGCAGATCTCTCTGAGTTCAAGGCCAGCCTGGTCTACAGTAGCAAGTTCCAGGCTAGCTGGGGTTACAGAGAGACCCTGTCTCAAAAAGGCAAAGAGAAAAGAAAGGTGAAGCTGGTTAATTAATGACAGTATTTCTGCAACATAAAAATTTATTAATCTGGTTTCTAAAATGGTTTTTGTTACTTGGCTCAAAAACTGACACTAATTCTATCATGATCCTTGTCATTTGTGCTATCTTATACCAAAGGCAATACAAGGATTAGGATCTTTGCAATTTAAAGGATCATTAAACTCTGCAGTTGTCTTTGGTCCCAAAATATGAAAATCTGGGTCAGTTAAAAAAAATTCCTGTGTTGAGCTCTGTTGCTTTGTCCTGTGCAGTTCCAGCCCCAGCCCTGCCTCATCCCTAGGGGCCTGGGCTTTCAGTCCTTCTTTCCTCTGCCGGGCATCTTTAGAGGAAAACTTCATACCAACTTCCTCCACCATAAATTCTCTCCTTCCCTTCACCTTTTCACTTCTCTTTGCCAACACACACCACTACTTATTTGCTTTTTTTTCAAAGCCCACAGCCCTCTCTGGCTCTTTTCCATATTTAACACTTGTTGAAATTCTCTTTTTCTTTGATGTGTCCTCAGGTTTTTAAAAGGCTAGGCTTCAGTTATTTATTCTGCACGGTCCATTTCTGCCTTCCTTCCTCTTTCACTTTTTTTCTTTTTAATTCTAGACCATTTCAAAACTTATGGAAACTAAAATCCTTTCCTTGTGATTAAAATTCTTCCTCTAGATACAATAAAAATGTTTATGTTTATATTATTTTTCAGTTAAACAGTTCTCAGGGACTGGAGAGATAGCTCAGCAGTTAAGAGCACTTGCTGCTCTTGCAGAGGACTTTGGTTTGGTTTCCAGACCCTACACGGTGGCTCACAACCATCTTTAACTCCAGTTCAAGGAATCAGATGCTTGCTTTTGGTCTCCATGGCCACCAGGCACCTATGTGGCACACATACATACAGGCACACACTCAAAGTTCTTGGGAGCTGGAGATGTAGCTTAGTGGGTAGGATGCATGAAGCTTTGGTTAGATCTCTTCCAGTACCCCAGAAACTGGACTTGGTGGCACAGATCTATAATCCTAATACTTGGTCAGGTGGAGGCAGGAAGATCAAGAGTTCAAGCTTATCCTCGTCTACATAGAGAATTTGAGGCCAGCCTAGACTATGTGAGACCTTGTCTCAAAAGAAAAAAAAGATTTCCATATTTCCTCCATACTTTTCTTCAATGTGGTAGGCCTTATATGAGAATTTCATTATCCTAGTGCCGGACTCTTAAATGCTTTCCAACCAAAGATGCTATCACATATATGTGTACCTGAATGTTGTCATATGCACCTACTCAGATAACAACCACAAGCCAATATATAACTATACAAAATCACAAAAATACAGATATGTACAACACATTACATTAGAGTTGAGCAAAATACATTTTGGGGTAGAAAATGACATTGGCTGAATTTCCAGGAAATTTAGCAGACAATCTGCTTTGGATTCTATATTCAGACTGGGGAAGAATGGATGAGAGGAGAACCATTCATTCCTATGTACATGGAGAAAGTTCATTAAGGAGACTGAGTTTCAGGAGTTGAGGATGACTCGAGATTGTGATGAATAGCAGGAACATGGACAGAAGACCAGAGCTCTAAGAACATCCAGTTTCTGTATCCAGAGAGTCTGACAGACTATGAAAGATTCTTTTGTAGCTCTGATTGCAACTGTGGTCACCTATCCATTAATAATCCATATTGAAACCAGGCAACGTGGAGGCTGAGGCAGGAGGATTGCCACAGGTTTGAGGCCAGCCTGATCTACAGAGTGAGATCCTTTCTCAAAACAGTAATCCGTATTGGGGCTGGAGAGACGGCTCAGCAGTTAAGAGCACTGACTGCTCTTGCAGAGGACCCAGGTTCGATTCCCACATGGTGGCTACAAACCATCCTTAACTCCAGTTCCAGGGGAACCTGACAACCTCTTCTGACCTCCGTGGCATTGCACGACATGGGTGTACTCACATACATGCAGGCAATATACTCATGCACATAAAAAATAATAAAAAATATTTTTTTAAAAAATCCATATTGAAGCTTTCTGCCCTGTCTCTGTACTACTAGAGCCACTCTTAGCAGATTATGGTACTTTTTCTGCTTTCAAGTTATTAGGATCATGATAGTCGCCACCACCAATAATTAATCTCCAGCTAACTATTAGTCTTCACTAAATCCATTATTTACCTGTATATTTCCTTTTTTTCCACCATGCTCCATAATCTCTTTGTAATAATAGTGACTTAAAATCCCATTTGTGCCCAGAGTAGCCACAGGTGCCTTTAATCCCAGGACTCGGGAGGCAGAAACACATGGATTGATTGAATTAGGCTTAATGGCAAGTGCCTTTACCTGCTGAGCCATCTCACTGGCCCTTGGTTTTAATTGTCTGTTCTCTTCACTTATAGAGCTTACTTTTTTTCTTTGCTTTTCCTTCTTTTTCTTCTTTTTTCTGAGACAGGGTCTCAGGTATCCTAGGCTGGCCTGGAACTCCTATAGCCAAGGATGACCTTGAACTTCTGATTCTCCTGCCTCCATCTCCTGAGTACTAATATTATAGGTGAGAGCTACCATGCTTCATGAATGAACCCAGAGCTTCATGCATACTAGGCAAGCACTCTACCAACTGACCTACATCTATGCCCTAGTTTGTTTCTCCACTGCTGTGACAAAACACTCTGACCAATACCAACTTGAAGAGGAAAGGATTTATTTTATCTACATCTCCCAGGTCACAGTTCATCCGGGAGCCCAAGGTAGGAACTCAGGACAGGAACCTGGAGCAGGAGCTGAAGCACAGGCCATGGAGGAGCTGCTTACTGGCTTGCTCCCCTGGTCCCTGCTCAGCCTGCTTTCTTATGTAACACAGGCCCACCTGCCCAGGGGTGGCACCACCCACAGTGGACTGGGCCCTCCCATGTCACTCAACAATTAAGAAGATGCCCCATGGACATGGCCATAGGCCAGTCCAATGAAGGCAATGCCCCAGTCGGGGCTCCCTGAACCCAGGTATGCCAAGTTGACACTAAAGCTATGCAGCACAATCTACAACTCAGATTTTTTTTTTTTCCTTTCACACAATTCCTGACCTTCTAGAAGCCTTCTTATCTTCTTATATTTTCTGGAGATTGTGTTTTTATTTGTTATTTGAAACAGGGTTGTCTTCTATCCTTTGGATGACCTATTTGAGATCCTCCTGCCTCAGCCTCCCTAAGTGATGAGATTACAGTGGTGTGTCACCAGGTCTGGCAAAGGCCACAGTTTTGAAGCCCAGATTAAGCAACAAATCAGCAGTTGAAAAGAAAGAGTAAAAGCATTTAATCAATTTTAGAAAACCAGTACTCTAGCCAGTAGTTCTCAAAAGTGAAATGAGGACTCTCAGTGCCAAGACTGACCCACCTGTGTACCAGAGGCTTCTGTAGCTCCACAGGAAAGCAATGTCACATAGTTTGGCCATACTACAAAGACTCTGTAAGAGCCCCTGAAAAAAAAATTCCAGAAGGTACTTCTTTGTTTGTTTGAGACAGGGCCTCACTGTGTAGCCCTGGCTGACCTTGAACTATCGTGATCCTCTGACCTCAGCTTCCCACCCACCCTGGTTCACCACCTCATTTTTGAGACATTGTCTCATTAAACCATTTCCCCTAGACTGGCTGAACATTGAGCCTTCAGGATTCTCTATCTCTGCCTCGCAGGTGCTGGGGTTCCAGGTAGAGGCCATTGTACCCAGCTTTTATATAGGTGCTGGGGATCTGAACTCAGATCCTCACACTTATACAGTAACACTTTACCCACTGAAGCAGCTCCCCAGCCCAGAAATGACTTTTTAAGTAGTGTCTTTCATTAAAGAGATGGATAAGAAAGGAGCTGGGAACAGCAGACAATGAAGGGAAGTAAGTATGGACAGTGATAATGAGCTGAAAAGCATCAAAGGAGGTCAACTAACTCTCGGTGACACTGCTCCCTAGGTGGATGCAGTGATTTATGCTTAGAAGTTTGGTAAAGACATAATAAACCTGTTAAAAATAGCAGAAGCAAAAAGTGGGGGAAAAAAAAAACCCACAAAGGAACTGTCTGTAGAAGTGTCTTTAGGATGTGTCCTAAAGATCCAGAATGTGTCCTTAGGATCCAGAATGAAAAGGAAGCATTAGAGATTTCTGCAATAGAATGCTTAAATAATCTCCAGGCTGGGTGTGGTAGCATGCATGTAATCCCAGAACTGGGAAGGCTGAGGCAGGAGGATTGCCTTAAGTTTGAGGCCAATTTGGACTACATAGTGGGTACTAGGCTAGTCAGGGCTACGTAGCAAGACCCTGTTTCCTAACAAAATAAAATAAAATAGCGTATTTGTGACATACTTGGTTGGAGACAGTCTCATGAATTTATAGGTTCTTGAACTCATCCTAGATCTTTTGAATCAGAAATACTGGAGGTGGAATCCAGAGGTCTGAATTATATATGACATTCCCTTCAACCCCCAACCAAGTAATTCTTCTGCCCTAGGGGTGACCCTGTAATGGCATAACTGTTGGATTACCCACATTTTTCCTGCCAGTCTTCCTGGTACTCCACCTTTGCTTCTGCTCTTGGCCTCTGATGCCAACACAAATAGGAAGGCCTCAGGTTACCAGGACAACTGCAGCACAAGAAACCGTAAAGATTCAGCACTTGCACGGGCATCACGGACAGTTGCTATGCTGACTGGCATTTTCCTTAGGAGGGTCATGCTTCTACACCCTGTCCCCCAAAGTACTCAAGCTAGAAGATACCCTGGCCCACACCACAGACCCTGACATCAAGGTGGCAATAGAATGTGAATGGGTCTGGTGAGGAACAGTGAATGAAACTCTTGTTCCAGTGTTGATATTTGGATGATAATTGGATTCTGTAATGGTAAGAATTGTATTTCCCTAAAATCTGGTTAGATTACAATATATGAAGTCAGTATGCTTCTATTTATTTACATTATTGATACCAATAGCATTGGACATGGAGTCTTGAATGTTTTTTTCTCATCCCCTGCCCTTACTAGATGTCTTCCTAATTTGGTTTGGACCGAAGGGTTTAGCTATCTACTTTTGATGCACTGGGAGCAGTTGCTTGGCCAAGAAAGAATAGTTGCCAAATCATAAAGTTTAGTTTCTATTTACACTTCACTATCAAAGCTAGTCATTTAAGACAAGAGAGAGCTCATTGGGCTTAAATTCTTTTAAAGACACGAGTAAATGAAAATCTACTTGCATTTAATCATTAATTGAACCCATTGTGGTGGCTCATGCCTGCAATCCCACCACTTGGGTGTGAAGCAGAAGGATCACTGTGAATTTGAAACCAGCCTGGACTGCAGAGTGAATCCCAGGTCAGCCTGGACTCGAGTGAGACCCTATCTCAAACAGAAAAAAATGAGAAATTGAGCAGCAGGTATTTTCATGGAGCACTCCTGGCAGGCAAGAGCAAGGGAAAGCAGTAAGAAGGCGATTGATGGCCCCTTTGAGCACTTGAACATGTGGAGGGTGGATTAGGTCTATTCAGTTGAGCTCCAGAAAGTGAATAAGAACATTTGGGGGGACTGGAGAGATGGCTCAGTGGTTAAGAGCAAAGTCCCTGGGTTTTGATTCCCAGCACCCACATGGTGGCTAACAACCGTCCATAACTCCAGGGGATCTGACACCCTCTTCTGATC